TATATGCATACCATAAATAAATTTGTTATAACAAATAGTAGTTAAAAGTTTGGGCTCAAATTTGGACTCTTCAGTTATCAATATGTTTTATTAATTGTAAATTTATGATTCTATGTGTTACTCACTTAAGTTTTCCTGATAATGATAAATTAAAAACAGAACCAAAACTCAATAGTATTTCTCAAAACTCAATAGCATTTTTATTTTGTTTATTTATTATAAATTGCATTAAAATTTATTAGAAATTATTATAGAGTAACGGTGTTTTCTTATATTTCGACCTCAACAGTTTAACTTACGATTTTTCCTTCTTGAAGGTGGGAAATAGGTCATCTAAAAAAAACTACGACCAGTTTTTATCCACAATTTGTGACCTATGATATGACATATTACACCTAGATGACCTCCACCTTCAAGAAGAAAAAATCATAAAAAATCGTTGTGTTTTACTGAAAGAAAATTTAATCAAGGGATTTTGAAAATAACAAAATAAAAGGTTTTAATTCCATAATTTTGTTTATTGGGCACAATAATTTTTTTAAACAATTAGTACCGTGTATAATGTCCTGTGTTAGCTAAAGTATCTGTGCACCTGTTAGGCGTACTATTAATAAGGAATTTCACTCCCTAGATGTTGCAACGCTGCATTCAGTTGTGGCAGGTCAACTGGCTGCAGATGGCGATCAAAAAGCCTTCTATGCAAAGCAACCCGCATGTGCTAAATTATTTTGAGGTCTGGAGACAATGGTGGAAGGGGGAGATGGGCAATTACCAGGTTTTCTAAACATTGATGCACAACCCCACCTACTTAAGTCTGGCATTATCCTCCCTGCCAATAAGATCCCTGGTTTGAGGGATGTATTCCTTGATAATTTTTTGTACATGATGGACTACGGTGAGGTTACCTTCAACAATATGGAGTCCAGTTCATCCTCCAGTGTAAATCCCAGCCCATACCATTACACCACCTCCTCCAAACTGCTTTCGAGGGAGCATGAGCTGGGGCACTGAACACATCCGCTGTTCTTGGTAGACTTTTCTGTGCCTGCTATCACTATACAGACAGAAACACAACTCATCAGTAACATAACAGCATTCCAATTGGTGTTCTCTTCAAGGTGTTCGCTGCACCATATTCTCCTGAATTGTTTGTGGTGGGCTGTTGCTGCAGGTTGTCTCAAAGGGGCATACCATGTAACACCAACTTCCCACAAATGGTTACGAATCGTCTGTGTTGATAAAAGCCTTGCCAAAACTTCTTGTACTTCATTTAGGATCTGGTGGGCACTACGGAAAGGGTTCCATCTTGCAGCAGTGACAACATTTCTGTCCTCCCGTTGTGGTGTTTGTTTAAAAAATGAGTAATCTTCATGTTTACTATTCATTTTCTTAAGTAAATCCATGATTAAAAATGAGGATTTTGGTTTGTAATTTTTATTTTGTTTTATCCAACTAACAAGAATATATCGGATAATTCAATTAAAATTAATAGAATAAGAATAAATTTCAAATATTCCTATTCATTTTTGAGCAGTTTAGAAGAATATCTAGTAATGACGAAAATAACAGTCTTTGAAAACTAGCGATTCTTAAGTATCTCAAGTTCAATGAAGTCTTTAATCAATCAAAATGGCATAAAAATTATATAAATTATCACCAAAAGTGTAAAACTATTAGTTTTTCTTTATTGGCAAGTACCAATAGTTTGGTCCTGCAAGGTGTCACAACTGCTACAGGTGACACTTGTATTCTGCACAATTTAAGACATGTACTGAGGTTCCAAAGGTCCATGGAAGTGTCACATTTCCAGAACCTTAAAAGTGCCATGCTCGGCTTGATTAGAGTAACTGAATCTATAGTCTTGCCAGCTGACACGTACGAATCTATGCCAGTTTCTAGATTCAATATTCTCATTTTATCATGTTTCATAATAACAAAAACTACATAAGGGTAACTTTCTTTAGCGATCAGGAGATCTTCAAAAAGTTCATCCGTGTGAAACTGCTTCCTTACTTTGTACTCACCGTGATGGTGCCATAGAGTAATCAGCTTTGTGATTTCAAAGTGGATTATATGCTGTTCGTTAACTAAAATTGGACATTGTATCGCTAATTTATTTGAAAATTTTCTAGCAAAAAAACTGTAATAGTAACTTTCTAAAGGATGGTGCAAACAATCGAGCCCTATAAAAAGATCACCAGATGAAGTTATTTGTAGAGTCACACGTGCAATTATATTATCCGAAATGATCTCTTCGAGATGCTTAGAGCCAGTTTGTAAATCATAGATGATTAAAACTGTAGATCTGCTTCTTCCAATATTCTCGATAAAAGAGGCAACAAAATAATTTTTATCGTGACAGAAAAACCAAGTTTCCATTTCTTGTCTCTTGGTCGATACTTGCAAGTTAAACTCTAGTTTTAAGTAAAAAAATCTCTTATTATTTCTTCGGTACACTTTGGCCATGTAAGACTGGACGAAAATAAAAGTACCATCGACTAGGCAGTAATATTTAACATAGCCTAAATCTGAAGAGTAATTAATTTCTTCCTTGTACTCCATTGACTGAATATCCCAAACCTTGAAGCAATGCGCAAGGAAGTGGTAAGTGATCACGTTATAATGATCACAGAGAATATCACATTGTTCCATTCTTTTTAACAAAGAACCCCGTTCGTTATCCTCAGTCCATACTTGTGGGGCGAAACAACCGTTCTTCCAGTTCTGCGATATCCTCACTTCTTGCATGTACCGCAGCCTCCATGGGCAGATGGTTACTAGGCTGTCGAGTCCACCAGCAGGTGGGAAGTCAGACGAGACCCTGGATTCACACTGGCTAAGCACCGGAGACTCCGATTTCTCCAGGCCGTAATCCTCAAAGCAGAATCTGTACCAGAGCTCGTTGAGGTTGAGATTATTTCTCCAAAACCGGCAGACGAGGTTGCAACTGAGGAGGTCGACCTTTTCCAAGTAGTGGCCGATTTCCATGAGAAGTTCACCGGGCAAAGTGTTAACAGTCGGCCCGTCATCCCGGCTCAGCGGCATACCTTTTTCTAGTTCGAAACTATACCCTGGAAGCTAAGGAAAGCCTCTTCTTGTAAAGAAAAAACCAACAAAACAAAACATCTTCCTTATCACTAAAGGAAGAACTAATAAGATATGGAGAACCTAGTGGTACATTATGAAAACAAATCTGGACAACAGAAGACCCTACATATTTACAGTTACACAGTATGTAAACAACAGTAAATGTGTACGTCTCACAAGATGTAATTTTCGATTTGTCTATTGTATTTTACTAAAATTAGTGCTTACAAGAAACAGACAATTAGATTAAACCCGACCAAAAATGTAATTTTGTATTAGCTATTAATTGATTAAATATGAAATATACAGGATTCATAGTGACTCGTTATGATAATTATGATCATTCTTTACATACAATTCAAACAGACCATGTGATTTCTGTTAACATCTTCAATTTTGTTTTAATATATTAATTCAATTTAAAAACATGATGATGAGGTGGAGGAGGATACCAGGGAAGCATACGTTTGGTATTTCCCAAGCTCTGCAGATTTCAATTCAATTTACTTGATCCTTCTTTTAAAAAGAAGGTCGACTGCAATTCTTTTCCCCCTGTTTTCATGGTACCCTATATTAACTCCATTGAGCTGTTGCTTCACATTTGAAGATAATATAATCGACAGTTTCGTCCTCCTCATCATTGCATAACATACGAAAAGGATCGTTGTTGAATATACTGTAGAGTAGGTGTTTAATCAGATGCCAGTGACCTGGGAGCCCTATCACTTGCTTGATCTTTACCGTCAAACTGTAACAATGTTCTTGCCAGATTTAGTGAGATTTAATCCTGAGTTTATGTCTGGTGTTCAGCCACTTCTGCTTTTGATTTTTGTACACCCATTCTGAGATGGAGTATGTTTGATTTTGTTATAATTATGTATAGATTCTAGGTATATGGTCTTTCAGTCCCTCCTCTATTGAGTTTGCCTGCCTTGTTAGGCTGTTTTTCCAGGTTTTTGATGCTTTCACCAATTAGTTTGGATTTGTCCTTTTTTGCATGCTAAAGTGTTTAGGGCTGCTTGGCTGTCTGATCTTACAAGGATTTTTTAAAATATGTAACCTCTTTTATGATTCGTTCTAGTCGATGGGCCATGAGTTTATATAATAACTGTGAGACATTTACTCTTTTCTGTGGCAAGTTTGTTCATGCTTTACTAATAATTGTAGCCTTTCATAATGGCATTAAGATAATTTATAATTACAAACCTCCTGTCCGATAGGAATTGCTTTGCCATTACTTTTGTGGTCTTTAGGTCAGAGGGAGGATCTACCTGTTTAAAGGTAAATTTCTTAGTGGGGTCTGAAGGGTGATGAACCCCTAAACATTTCCTATCATTTTGCATCCTTATATACTCGACCAGACACTCAAGATTATGAAAAACTGAAATGCATCTAACAGATCAAACTGGCAAGGATTTGCAGACCATAAACAACCATATCATGTACAAGTTAATAATATTACGATGCATATCAGTGTTTCAATTTTATATCAAGAATTAATATTAAGTAGCTGGTAAATTTAATGATGGAGTTTTTTTTCTGGTAGTTTTAGTTCAAAGTTCTTAATATAATAATTTTAATAAATATCATTTACTGAAGTATTTTGAGGGAAGGGTTGTATAGAAAAAGTAGATACATTAAAAATAATGATTTATTGCACTTCACTCCACCACAAGGCTAATTACAAAATGCAAAATTAGGAGTAAAAATCTGAGAGTAATGTAGAACTCAATATTACAAAAAATACTAAGGTTTTGTCTTAATGTAATGGGTATAGGTAATATTTTTTATTTATAATTATTTATAATATGTATGTATAATATGTAAAAATATTTACATTCTCATCTCGAGTGCATAAAATAAATTAGTGCTATGAGAAGTATTGTGTTTGATTTAAATATTTTATTTTTTTAAATTTTGCTAAAAAAGTTTTTTTTATAATCATTGATTGAAATTCGGGTTTCAGTTATATACATATGAGGGGAGTGGGAGATGGTATAAGGCCGAAACTTCAAAGATTTCCACAAAGAAACCCTGAAGTTCAATACAAGGCAGCTTTGCCAACATCCTGGCGAAAATCTCAGGCTTTCTAGAGGGTAGAGAGAGCATTAGACTGAAACAAAGTTGATATCTAGCACTGAATTTTAACTTAACAAGAAATTTTTCATGAGATATCAATTAGTAAAATTCTAATGCCTCCTTGACACCCCCTGTATCACTGACGAATTTTAATTTCACATCTAAAGAAATGAATTCATTCGAGAAGGTTCAGCGTGCTGTTTGTCTTCCTGAGCTGTGCCCTCCAAGGAATAATTTGCGCCACTTCATCATCTCTGTCGTCTTTCTTTTCAAGCGGTTTGACTTCCGGTAGTTTATTTTCTTTATTCTCTGGCACTGGTGTTGGTTTGGTCTCTTCATGTGTACAGCTGTTTGTCTGGGGGACTCTGTTAAATAAAAAATTATTTTTTAAATCAAATCACTACCAAACAGAACAATTAGTTTTCACTTGACTTACTTCTTTTGCAGAAGATGTCTTTTCCAGGCTGGTATTGCCTGCAGTCTTTTTAATTCGGCTTCTTTTGCTAGTTCCTCTTCCATCTCTTTCCGGGCCTTTTCAGCTGCTTTCTTAGCAAGCATCTGTCTTTTCCAGGCTGGTATCGGATTGCCTGCTGAATCTTTATCTGGTACCTGAAAAAAAGAGTTAAATTCCAGAATATACACCTTACTGGAATGACCCAATGATTAATTTAGATTTTCAGCCCATTATACACATTCCCACTCAATGAGTGAAAATGACATGTCAGCACATGTTGGGACTGGGATATAGTTGCTCTATATTAATAGCTTTCCTTCTTTTTGCAAACATTTGATTTAACTAAAATTTTAAACTAATTTTTCTTGAGCAAATTGTTAGATTTATTATTAAAACATAACCCAGAACTTGACTATCCATTATTTTATTTTAAAAAAATGAAGTAATAAAATTACGTTACAAATAACTAGTCAATAATTGTACAAGTTTCATCAGATTTATATGATTAATTAGCAAATATTAAAGAAAGTGTGTGTAAGGTGAGAAAATAATCTCAGCTAAGATACTACCAGACCAGAATTTAATCCAAATTCCCATGAAACAATTTCATTTCAATTTTGACCACAGATCAAATCGCATTGGATTAATAACTTTGACAAGTTCAATCAAAATTTGTTAAGCCAAAAATGAAATATTCAAAGAAAGTGTGTTCAAAGCAAGAAAATAAACGCAGCTAACATACTACAAGGTCAATTTTAACCAAATTCCTCTAGATTATTATAATTTAGTTTTGATCATGGTTTATGGCTTGAGAGATAGATACTTGTGCTAGATTTTATCAAATTTGAGTGAGCGAAACTATTCAAGATAGTGTATTCAAAGAAAGAAAATAATCATAATTAACACTTTCAGATTACATTTTAACAAATTCCTGTAGGCCATTTTTTTTGTTTAAATTCAGATCATAGTTTGAGGCTTGGGTGTCCAATATCTGTGCCAAATTTTGTCAGATTTGGTTGAGGGAGATACGAGATATCCAAGAAAGTGTGATAAGAGGAGAAAATAATAACAGGTAACATACGACATGGCCACAATTTAATCGATATTGTCCTGGACCAGTTTCTTTTAAATTTTAACCATAGATTAAACGTCAATGCGTTAATAATTTTGACAAATTTAACCGAAATTTGTTGAGCAAAACATGGGATATTAAAGATTAGTATTTCAATGTGCAAAAATCATTTCAGATTATTCCCAGGCCACAATTTAAACCAAATTTCCGTAGGGTATTTTTTTTTTAATTTTTCCATTTTGAGGCCTGGATTGGAAATATTGTTGCCGACTTTCTCTAAATTTGGTTGAAGGAGATATTCAAGAAAGCGTGTTCAAATTGAGAAAATCATCACAGTTAACACATTTCCAGGCCACAATATAAACCGAACTCTCCTAAACCAATTCTGGCCATTGTTTTGGACTTCGGTGGCCAATATCTGTGCGAGATTATATCCAATTTGGTTGAACGAGATATTAGATATTGGTAAAAGTGTGGTAAAGGCGGGAAAATATTTAAAGGTAACATACCTCCAGGCATCAGTATTTCCCTGTGCCATTTTTTTTTTCAAATTCACACCGTAGTTTGAAAATTGCGTAATAAATATTTATGGTATTTTTCTTCACATTTTTTTAAGGAATCGCAACGTATTCAAGAAAGTGTGTTAATGTCGAGAAAAATAATCACAGCTAACATACTAATGGACACAATTTAAACTAAAATCCCATGGATCGATTATCTTCAAAATTTGGCCATATATTGAAAATAACGTAGTTAATAATTAAGCCAAATCTCATCAAATTTGATTCAGACAGACACGAGATATTAAATAAATTGTAAATAATTTGGAGTAGACAAAAGAAATACACTTGAACGTCAAAATTTAAGGACTTCAGATTAACCACTTTTATTAAATTTTAACAATAGGCCTAGATATAGGCGATTTTGTTTTTGATGGATTCAGATACCAAACAGAACATTGAAATTCTTTCCTGGGCTCTTTACTCTCACCGATTGAAACAATATTTCGAACATAGATAATAGGTCAATTACTCAATAACTGAGCCAATAGTTAATATTTTTATGTTATCGATATCCATGACCACAGTAAATCATTTTGATGTATCACATTGCTATATTGCTTTAATCAAATTGGCTATAAATTATTAGTACTGTAGGCTAGTCTTGTTAAAATTGTCCTCTATTATTATATCAAACTTACCTTTTCGACAAAAGAGTCGACCGTGAATTTCTTCGATATTGTCGATGCTATTTCCTTCTCTTGTTTCTCCTCCATTTTGACTCTTTCCACTTTGAGCTTTTTGATCCCTGATATGTCCTTCGAAAGCTTCAACTCCGCGATAAGGTCCTCTTTGGCGTGCTGAAAGGGGGACTCCACTGTCCCTGGAAGCGAGTTGTAAAAATTTAGAAAGACAATAAGGAAAGAACGTAAGAAATAAAGGTAACACCAAGAGCTGTATCACCTCTTGTATTATACATTTATACAAACATTTACCCTAATTAAAAACCAATAAAACTATTTAAAACTAATATTTACAAACGAAAATTGTTTAATGAAAATACTAACCAGATGACAGAATGTTTATTGCAAATAAACGTTTTCTTACTGTTAATAAAAATGATTCTCATATTGTTATTTCATTATAAAAATAATCTGGTTCAGGTACAAGTCAAAACGTAGTTCAACAAGCCCAATACGTTTTGTATTGTCATTGACTGTATGTTTTTTTTAATGAACGATCGGGGGACCCAAGAGTTGATATTCGCACATGAACCAGTAACAATTAGCATTGCAATTAGAGCGGCCATCCCTGCTCACGTGCCATAATTAACGCGTATTTTGGAGAAAGTCCGAGGCAAACAGAGCATTAAGCTCTTTCTATTCCAAAGTTCCACTGGCAGAAAACAAGGGGGAATGCCCGGTTTTGTAAAACTTAAGACATTTACATAAGGGCACGGCCTTTTAACAAGGGCGGACATCGATCAAACGGACGACAAAACATGAACTCAAAGAAAACCAAAGAACAAAACGTGGATGTTAAACTTGAAAAATTATTTTCAATTAAATAGAAAATCTAAAGTATGAACCAAGGCTATTCAAGTGAACAAAGTTTATAATCATAATTAATTTTTAGCCTACTAAATCAACAGATCTAATCCAAAATGAGTATGTATGCACTTCCTAACAATTTGCCTGACTAACTTTTGTTTTGCTTGAAAAACAAGAGGTGCCAAACAGCAATAATAATGGGCCTTGAAAGGCCGGACCTTGCTCGTTCAGACTTTTCATCCAGTTCCCTTTCTCCGGAAACCCAGCAATCATTGAGTAAACAATGATGAATAAAGATTTATTTGTGAATCTGACCTCTTTCTTACAATCATATTCATGCTTATTGCGATGGTTTAACTTGTACAACGAAATTGCCTTTGAAAAACCGGACCTCGCACCTTCAGGGTGCCTTTGAAATACTTCCCCAATGATACAACAATCATCAACTAAAAAATAAATGATGATTTATTTGGTAATGCAATAATCATTGAAATATTTGTTTTGCTGTATTGTAAAAAACCAAACAGATAGGTTTTGATATTTAAAAGGCACAAGAGACAAAAGATTTGTTCATGTTAGCAAAGAAATTGTTTCAATGATAAAGATTTTGATTTATCTATGATTTGGACGAGTACATTGATTTCTTTGCCGATTACTATTGCGTGCTTTATCATCCCCGAGGTTGTTTTATAATCCAATTTCCAGAACTTTCGTTCCTGGGTGAGACCCGGAATGAAATCCGTACTGAGATCCCTTTCTAGTGATGTCACCGAATTTTTGTTCCTCTCGTAATTGTCAAAACTGTGAACGATTTAGTTTCGTTTGTAAACCGTCTAATGATTGTTTGGTTATTTCGCTTTACATGTAATACCAATCTACATTTTTAATGTTTTTTCCTTTTCATTAAGTTAGCTTACGATTCCAGGTCAAATGAAAGTACCTTCGAACAAATTAATGTCAGTGTTGATGAAATAACAAAACAAGTCATATTATTTTTTCAGTTCTAAATCACTGGTAAATTACTGCTTTCACTCTATGTAATGGTCAATTACATTGTGTTCCAAGGAATCCATTTTGTGACAGATTGTATGCAGCAGTTTCGAAACTATATGTACAATAGTATTTTTTTTACAGATATTTGAAAGTAAATGTCGGTTTGAAAGGTAGATGTTTGTAGATTTTTATGAAATTTTTGTACCAGTTTGAAGAAAAGTTAATTCATTTTAAAGTGTTGAAGCAGTTATGGTTGCCAGATGTTTTTCCTATTTATGGTAGTATCACAATTTTTTGTTAGAACATGACGGTCCATCAAAATTAGCCTCATTTACAAATTTATCTGGCTAGTTTCTTATGTGAATTGAGAAGGATTAACCAATTTTGAAGTCTTTTAGACAACAACCAATTGCCAAATAATATGCACATTTAAGGTCATATAAAAGTAAATGTCAGTTTTAAAAATTAGGCTCATTTTCAAATTATCTAGACATTTTCTATGCGAATAGAACAACATTTATTAATTGTAAATTTGTTAAGAAAACTAAATCCCCGGTCATATCAGTATGTATACAAGTACATGTCGGTTTTAATAATGAACTCCTTTACAGATTAATCTCACTATTTTCCATGTGAATTGAGCAAAATTTAATCATTGTAAAATTTTGAAGGCCGCAAGTACACCTACCAACTATTTGGCTCGTTTGTGGTCATAACAGTAGTTCCAAATATGAGTATCGGCGACACAATAAATTAATTGTCTGTGGATTTTAATGATTTTTTAAAAATCAGAATTAACATTTCCCAGTTAGGTTTGAAGTGTAGGTACAGGTGCCGATTGTTTTGCCCCTCTAAGGTCATATCAGTATTTCTAAACGTACATATCGATTTGACCGCGTATACATGATTGCAGATTTGTATGATAAGTTTGCAACAGTTCAAAGAAATATTTTCCAATTTTGAAATCTTGTTGACAGCAACTATAGATGCCAATTGTTGTGCCCATTTAAGGTCATATCAGTATTTCTAAAAGTACATATCCATTTGACAACGTATACATATTTACAAATTCGTATGAGACTTTTGCAAAACATTCGAAAAAGATTTACCACCTTTAAACTCATTTTGACAACAACTTTATTTGCCGAATGTTTGGTCCATTTATCATACCAGTATTTTACAAAATTAGATGTTAGTTTTGACAATTTTGAAAACCGCCCATGGCTGCGGACATTTTGAAGGTCTGTGTCATCGACAAATGTGTACATTTTTCTCTCTGGATATTTTGAAATGGAGGAAGCATTTGCCGAATGCTCAAGGAATTACAGCAAAGAGGGTAGTTGAGCGAGTGAACATCGGCCTAATCTTATATTTTATTTAGCCATTAATAAATTAAAGTTTTGTACAATGGCATTTGATTATTTTAATTCAACTAGCATTGAGTTTAGGCTTAGTTTATCTCAAAAGGGACTTATAAATAAAAAGTCACTGTGTAATCTCACTTCATTGCTGGTGAGATAAATTAAGGTCATTAATTTTTGAAGTTTACAATTGCTCGTAAAAGAATTTTTTGCTACTTACAAGAAGTCGCGAAATTAAACCTGCGATAAAATTTTATGCCGATGTGTAATGTTTAAACTTGTTTACGCCGACTTTGACTGAAGAGTTTAAAAAGGACTTTATTTTAAAATGTAAAAACTACTTTTGTTATATATTTTATAAAACTTTGTACTATCGTGCGTAATATTTTTTTTCACTTCAAAAGGGGGAAAAGTAGATCTATTTTTCGAAACATTTCTGATAAATTTAATGAGGCAATTTTACTCGAATTAAACTACTTAATTTATGAGTGTGTCATGACTCTTTGGAACGATAAGAAGGTTAACCAAAAAACATGGCTTATATTACACAGTTTAACGTTGTTAGATTTCAAAGACGGATATTTAAGATATCGAAAATTTCTTTAGAATATCAATTCTTGTAAAACAATTTTCCATTTTATGAATATTTGTGGATATAATTAGATGTATTTTCATAAAACCAGAATTGCTGAAAAATTGTAGCTTAATTTTCTAAGAAAATACACTATATTTTAATCTATGTTAATTAAAAACAATGACCGAAAGCTTTTAAAAAGACTTCTCCTAAATTGCCAAATATCGCTTAAGTATATATTGAAAGGGATTAATCTTGATAAGATATTTCCTTCAGAAAATATTTTATCGCTGTAATTTAAGAATTAATCCTTCAATTTTTTAGAGAGAGGAAAGGACAATATTCGCATTATCCTGGTGTCAGAATGGGCATAGACCTGATTTAATTGAATCATTACATTTCTGGATTACCTTCGTCCAAAATGAACTATTATATAGAACGTGACGCGAGGACCAAAAGTCAAAATTACTCAAAACGGGAAGTGGTGAGTGCAATTTAAAATAATAGCCAAGAGCAATCTATTACAGTAAAACACATAAGAAGAAGTCCACGAGAAAAATATAAAATCGTTTTGATTGCTTGATTCTGTAAAAAAATTGATACAACGGTCTATAAGGCAAAAATCAAACTTTTATAGGCACAACTTATTGACAATATTCTAATATCGGTAATAAAAAATACACTATTAACTGAACCTTTTTAGCCTCATTTATCACGCTTTATATTTTAATACGGTTTTAACTGTTAATGAAACCATGTCTAATTAGACTCACATACTATTTCGCCTCAATAAGATCTCTTGTTGTGATTGTAGGACTACGTGGAAATACCAAAAAGGGGCAAGGAAGTCAAATTTAGAAAGCCTCGTGGAAGATTTATTCTCAATCCGTGCCCACGTGACGTTTTTTAATTTTTCAAGATGTTTTTTAGCTAAACGTTTTGATAAATAATATCTCTTATCTCTTAACTTCTTTTTCAAAATATGAGAGTTGAATTTTTTTTCTCTTTCGTTGTTGTTCATCCTCATCAACATAACCGAACCAGTGACCAAGCTCGAAAAAAGGCCAAAAGAGTTTTGTGTTGTTTGAGGCTGTAGAAGTTGTGTTATCTATATATGTACGTTATAACCATAGTTACGTTTTAGTCCATACAAATTTTGTTTCAAGTAAATGAGAGATTAATTACTAAAAATGATGATTCATTAGCAAGTTACCAACTTGCATAAATATCCTTTTATTTCAATAAGTTCTATTAAAATTTTTGATTTTTCTAATTATATACTGTGTCGAATTAAACGTAAAAAAAGTTTTTTTTTTTATTGGTGCGTAACTCGTGAAATGATTTTTTTCCTCTCTTTTGATTTTCTTAATTTTCTCTTTTCAAAGTGCTCTTGCCTGAGGGACTGCTTTGGGATGGCTGAGAGTTTTGATTTGCTTTCTATTATTTTATTATGTTAAGATCTGTAACAAGGAGGTTTTTCAATAATTGATGGTCGTAAATTGTACACAATGTGTCTGATCAGTTTGGTCCGCCTATTCTCGCTCGGTTTGTCTGGTAGAGGAGGTTCTTTATTTGACCATCTCCGTAAAACTAATTAGAAGTTTAGATATAGCAACATAATCAGAAATGATTAAACTATTTCAATATAAATAAACATAGTTGAAAATTGCTGACCTAAGTTGAAACTATCTCTTGATTTTTTTACAATATCAAAGGAGATTCGCTTTGGTGTATTAACTGAAATTATAAGAATGTAATCCATACGTGAAATTTGTGGTAAGGTTTGCGACGAACCAAGCTTGATTCGCTGGCAAAACCAGAGAAAAGTTAGATCAGGTTGATTGGAGAAAATCGAACAAGCATTGCTATATTTGAGGATTGCAAAAAATTCAAAGTCGATAACAAAAGGCAGGAAATTGCTCTTTATCATTTGAAATTTTAACTGACATTTGGTCGTATAAAAATACAATTTTGTTGTGGGTTAGAAGATGATTTTAAAGTTGTTATTTGTAAAAATGGTCCACAAATACCTGGTAGCGATGGATGAGGACAGGACATCGTCTTCACTGCGGGGTTCTTAGTCCGTTTCAGCTGAACACTTGTAATGTCCTGAATGCTGATCGTGGAGAGGGGTTGGTGTGGCGGGGGTGGCGGAGGCGGAGGTGGGGGCCCTGGGGCTGGCGGAGGAGGGGCAGCATCTTCGCTTGCTGTATGCTGAACGGCCGGCGTCTGCTGAGCGGACTGTGCTGCCGGCGGCGGCGCCCCGCCCTGAAGACTCTTGAGGTATTCGGACGGTTTGATCAACGCTTCCGGGTCGTGTCCTTCCCCGAACTTAGGAGGAATGAACGGCAGGACCATCTGCTTGTTGACCAAATGCCCTATCTGGCCCCCTGGCATTCCATCACCTGGAAATTAGACATGGCTTTTTGAACGACATTTCTACTGTGACACAATATTAAATTCACATTGCCTTTTCATTTTTTTTGGTACTATTTTTTTTTTGTTGAAAAAATTCCCCTGGTCAATTCTAGCATAATGCACATCTGCTCGGGACGAACAAGATTAATTTGCAATGTGACACCCAGCTTAATTAAATTCTTATTTTGTATGAAATAAACATAGTTGAACAATCATCCATGATAGAACCTAATAAATCCTCAAATCAGCTGGTATACCATCTCCTACAGATTAAGCTGATTGATCAAAAAACACATTTGCCTTAAGTTACCCAAAACAATAGTTTTTCTTTAAATATTTCTTTTCTGAAAAATAAAAATTCTTAGACCTAATAAAACGTCAGATCAGCCTGGAATAGTGGATTATTATTAATTGAACAACAAATTTGTTCGATACAACCAAATCAGTTAATTTTGTATATTTATTTTATTACTGTTTAAGTAATAAATGTTTTTAAAAATGTATCCATTTATGCATAACTAAATATGACATGTGCCTCCGATGTATACAATCGCTAGGAGATCTTACATGATTGATTAAGCAAAAAATGGCTTGAGACACCTAAATCAACAAATTTTATTATTCTATATGAAATTTATTAAAAAAATATAATTTATTCCTTTTAAAACATCTAATTAACCTTCTTGGTATGTAATCGTCCAGAGATAACATGATTGATTACATAAATCAATTTATTTTGTATAAATGTGTGGTGATTAGTGATCGTTAGTCCATGATTATTCGGAAATCGTGAGATGCGGACTGGTGTGATGTAAGTTTCAGAAAAACATTTTCTTTATCGTACCAACGTTTCGATCTTTACTGAGATCATCTTCAGGGCCTGGGATTTACAAACATTGTTTAAATTTAACAAATACATGAAGGATGTGGAAAAAAGTGAATTTATACAATGCAAAAAAAAATATTTTTTATATTCAATCAAAGTATTTCTACTCAATCAAAGTGTTTGTTTTCTGCGTTCTGTAATACGCAGAAAACAAACACTTTGAGTGAGTAGAAATACTTGCTGATGATGATGATAGGTAAAGGATACATCGAAACATGGTTTGTGCATCCCAGGCCCTACAGCCTTCTGGCTTATTATACATTCCTAGTTCAGTGCAACCGACTCAAACCTTCTTCTCAGGTATTTTAAGTCATTGACTGTCGTTGCTACAGTTTCATTCTCTAGGCTTTTTGTATGCTAGGTTATGTCTACATTGAGCTGTTGCTTCGCATTCGAAGATGATATAGGTGGCTGTTTCTTCCTCCTCATTACATAATCTGCAAATGGGATCATCGTTACATATGACCTTGTTATGTAGGTGTTTTCTCAGATGCCAGTGGCCAGTTAATAGGTCTATCACTCCTTTGAGTCTGTGCATCTCCAACTGCAGCAGTAAGTTTGCCAGTCTCATAAACAGATTGCTCCAGTTAGAAGGTAACAAGTCAGTATATCGGGATATATACTGGTCATTGCCATCTAGGAAAACATGTACTTTGTATGGGAATATTCAATGATAACCTCATTTGTACGTTATGCAAGAAGGAAGAATAGTAATTCATATTGTCTTCGAATGCGAAGCAAAACACATTGGAGACATAAATTAGGATGTCAAGAAGACCCGGGAAAAAGAATTGCATAAATGATAGTCAATGACCTGACTAATTGACTCCTTAGAAGAAAGTTCGAGTCAATTAAACTGAGCTATAAAAAAAAAAAATTTACACTAAGCCAAAAGGCTGCGGTGCCTACTATCCTCTTATCATCACAGATTTTTGTAAGTCTTACATTTTGCGGGATTTGTCAACACTTCTCCTATATAAGAATTAATATTAGATTAACCTCCCTGGCACACAATCACTTAGAGATGAAAAATTATTGATTAAACAACAAATAAGTGACACACCCAAATCAACTTTTTTTGTATACTTGTAATTCTAACAAACGTTCGGGGGTGGGGTGGGGGTTAAACACAGTGAAACCTCTAAATGTCAGTGTGTTAAGCCTAAAGACTACGTTATTGGTATGCTCCAAATTTGGAAGTTTTCAAGTTTGAATTCGCAAATAGTTGATGATTTCGTAAAAAATAGTAGCTTATAAATGAACCATGTGGATTCCATCACCTGGTAGTTCAACAAAATACTTTATAAACAATCGCCATTACGAACAAGTTCAACAAAAAAGTTATACGCGGGACTAAAAAACATGCGGATTTTTCACAGCAAGATTGAAATGCAAGCATGTTGAAATCTAGATGGTAATATTTTTGAAATAAAAATTTATCGCAAGCAGTAAAATAGTGTGCAAGCTTCTCCCCGGCGTAAAAATCGGTCTAGCACTACCTAACTCACTTATTATTACCCCGAATAAAAATAGGAAGAAGAAAATTCCTTTAAATATGCCCTACTGAAGGCCAGCGCGTCTCCCCGCTTAATTCCCCACTTTGAGAACTTAGCATATATCATAATACCGAGTCACCATCTTCCATAAAAATCTTCCAACGGGATGGAGCCTGGAGCCTCCGCTCAAAGCCGTGGCTTGATAAGTTCCTGAATTATTCCGACATGGAATCAGCTGTTTCAATCAAGAGCCAAAACTTCCTGCTCTGCTTTTGAACATTCGCGAACAAAGTTGTCTTAAAATAAATTATTTGGCAAATTTGACACATTTCTTTTTGTCCGTTACGACCAAGGGCAAATGCTAACAGAAAAGTCAAAATGTGACCAGTATCATTTAATATATTTTAATGAAATTGTTTGACCTACAGCGACTTGATTTTATAAGTCGTAATTATTATGGACGTTGAACTTTTACCATACTCCACTTGAGATCCGGGCGGTTCTGTAATATTTGTTTCACGTGAGGCATGAGATGCTCCTAATGAGGTAGCGTCTCGCGTTACAATGCGGACAAGTTTACCACTGAATAATTACAAATGTAAGGAAATAATGAGATAATGTGAAGTCAAGTCTTACCTTAAGTTTGATCGTCAAGTCTTAAAGACGACCAGTGAGAACAGATCAACCATGATGATCGGAAACGATCAATGTACATATATATGCATTCATGTTTTTTAACATTTTTGAACACTATTTATTTAGGAATCTTCTGCAAATTTTTTGGGATGAGTTAAGCGAGTAGAAAAATTATCCAAGACATTTCTAGAACATAAGGTTCACGTAAGATAAGATATCCATGTTAATTTTTCCTTTAAACAAATGTCTAGATTTGACAGTCTCCCTATAGAAAAAAAAATTCTGACAGACCATGATGATATTAAACGATCATAAACGGTGATTTCTTTTTTCTAAACTGGCAAAGTTTGTAGTTAGGTTGGAAAACTATGAGTGATTGCAAGGTTTGTAGGATGTGTCAAGTGCATAATCAAATTCCTCAGTTGAGCCAGTGAAATGTCTACATTATTATAATGGATCACCTTATATTATGGTACTTTATTTATCTATGTTTATTGCTTATGAAACTTCTTATGATACTTCATTTATTTATGCTGTATAAAGGTTCACAGTGTGTCTTGTGAACAGACGTCAATACTTGAGGAGATCATTCTACATTCGAAATTGTACTAAAAATCTCTATTGTCAAATTTTACTCGGGATATTTCGCTTTTCAGGTTACCCGACCCTTTCACAACTTTATTCCATTAAATTCTCCTTATCACATAAAATGTTAATCCTACTGTAAATTTGTTTACACCAATAAAAAGAGCATTGAAAACTCTATGAGTTTTATTTATTTTTTTGTTTTGTTAATCTTAAACAAATAAAATAAAAAACACTGCAATAAAATATGTCAGAAAAATATGTAATAGGGATTTTTTAATTTGTTGTTTTTTCTTATGGTCAATTGAGTTCCGTAGTCCTTTTTGATAAAATTGTACTATTTTCATTATTTTTCAATAGAAGTTTCACAATCCTAATGACTAATCATATGAACCGTTTTTAACCGAAAAATAAATTTTTTAGCAAACATTGATGCTAACTGACCTTTGTTAATTAAATGGATGTAGTTATAGTTCATTAGTAAAGGCAACTTTTCTGTAAACGCTAATCTGGCAGTATTTCAGAATTAAGAGATTTTGCTTAAACGTTTCTCTTAAGGTTACAATTTAAAAAAAATAATAGTAATAATAATAATGCCGTAGGGTTTTCAATGCTCTTTTCAATGGTATGATCAAATTGTCGTAGGATTACCATTTCATGACTTACCAGGAACTTTTTGGAACAAAGTTGTGAAATGTTAAAGTAACTTAAAAAGTGAAATATCGAAATACAATTGAGTATTATTTGAACAATAGAGAAGATTTAGTACAATTTGACAGGTAGGAAACATCTTGAAAAACGGCCGTTTGTTAACGGGATACCCTGTATAAAGGGGTAGAGCATGTAACAAAATTATATTTTTACGTATAAAATATTTACTAGGTAAGGTTCATATTAAATTTAATAACTTCTATAATGAACTTCAAATCTATTTTTAGAATTTGAAATATGCTCTTTAAATCTGAAGGAAGGTTTGGGCCGAAACTTCGATTAGCAACATGCCGGAAGATTAATTGGGCTCAGGAAATTCGTAGTTCCTGCCAGGTAAATTGTGCAACTCTGTCGCCTTCAGGCTCGATTGGCTGTGGAAATCGGGGGAGAAAAAAAAATCACCCGACTTATTTATAATTTCAATATACAAGGAGAAAATAAATACCGCTTCTATTTCCGCCCGGGACAGTTATGATTCCGAGGAAAAAACCCGTTTTTACTAACTTAAAATACGCTGACCAATATTATTTGCTCGTACTTGTATGAAAGTGGCTAATTGTGCTGGAAAGCGTGTCGGACCTAATGGGTACACGATCGGACGAGCATAAGGGCCAGGAGGCGGACAATTAATATTATAGTTTAATTGGACCGTATAAAAATTGCCTCATATAAA